CGCTCTTTCCAGTAAATTAGGATGTTGTACAACCGTGTTGACATTTAATCTTCATTTATATATCTTAATATTTTTTTAACTCAATTATAATTCAATAAATTGTCCTGCTATTTAAAATGTTAAACGGGAAAATATGAAAAAAAAAATACAAATCCTAAAAAACTATATAATTTATTTCAGCTCTTCATCGACAAGTCACGGGTATCTCCAAATAACATAGGGTATCCGCCTTCCGAAAAAATTAAGTTATTTTCTTTTTCAGAGAAAATGCAGTGGGGAAATTGTCCACAACCATTCTCAAGGCATGCTTGCTTTTATTGTCTTTCATCTATGCATCGTCTCAAGCCACGGTCTGGAGGCCGCATATACATGTAGCTCTCTCCTATGAATGGGAGAGGATCGTACATTTTGACCGTTGTTTGCGACGATGTCATCTATGTAAATTGCCTCCAAACTTTTCTCGCTGACTGGAAAATTGGTTTCACACCACCAAATGCAATGTTCTAGTCTTGGACAGAAAGCAGATTTTTTTTTTTAAATCAGTTGCTTTAAAAATTCAGTTTAAATGTTTAAATATTGCAATTATTGAACATAATATTTTTATTTTCCATAAATAATCTACAATGTTATATTTTAGAAATAGCTTATTAGCCATATCAAAATCCAGATACATATTTTGCAAGAGACTAATACACAACACTTTGTGGTGTGAGTGAATCTTCCAGAATTTGACCGAGCAATGTTTTCAAGGACCTGTTTACAGAGATTAAAAAAAAAATAAAGACAAGCATACCAGATAAATTATCATAGAAAAGAATGGTTATAAACAGTCTTCCCATGTGTTTTCTCTATGTAAAAAAAGAAAAAAATAAATAAAATAAAAAAAAAAATTAATTACATAAAGTGAATACATTTCAATCTGTCATCACTCTCAAGTGATCAAGAACTTACAGCTTCCAGTTCCTGCGCGCGAAGCCGATACCTTTCACGCTGACTCTGAACGATAGGCAAGATGGAATCAACTGCGGACTTGTCCCCGGGAGTGGCAACTGAAGCAAAAAAACATAATGAGCAACAGTGAATATACATACATGTAAAAATAAAATAAATAGAATTACTGTTGCGAACTTTCGGTACAGTTACCTGATGGAATGACATCTTTGAATACTTCTGCAACAACACCTGCTTCGCCCTGACTTCCAGTAACCGTTTCCCCTTCAGCCTCTCCCCGGAACATGGAAGACACGGCATTGAGACTGCGCAGATCCTCCTCCAGCTGGGTGGTAAGCAGTTTCTGTTCCTGGACAGTGGAGACAGCTTCCTTGTAGTCTTCTTGCAATTTCCGGTACCGTTCTGAAATTGTTAAATCATTTTAAAGACAAATCAATAAGTTTCAAGCAAAATTTTATAGTAAAATTAATATCACTATGCAAATACTTTAATAGAATATAGTATACTGGGGAATCCTATATGATAAATTAATTTGATTATAGATATACTTAGTGGTGCTTTAATTCTTATTCTCCGTTGTACTTTTGTACGGTATATTTGTTGTATTAGATACCGTCCATATATTTCTATTCTGGATGAGGCAAGATTGAAAAATGATTCTCCGAAAGTAGAACCGTTTTCTGCATCTTAATCTCATTTACTGTTTGAACTGCTTCATCTTTCTGTTAAAATTTTCAGTTGAATTATACTTATAATTATTAAATGTCTAATATTGTATTCAAATTAGTGAAAGACAAACAATGGAAGAAGTAATGTCCTTGCATAAAAATACAATCGGACTGCGGCGAAAATGTTTGTATATTCAATTAATGTTATGCCACAGAGTTATTACCTGATTCGTGTTCAAAATATTGGAATCAGCGACAAAATTAGCAGCAATTATTATAATTTGCGCACGATTTTTCATAAACCCATATTGTCCGTTCTATGTGCTATATTTTCAAGCTATTTCAGAAATCGACATGATTTGTGGTCAAATTCAAATGTATGTGTGGTACCAAGCAAGAAATATACATGTTAATATACCACGCATTGGACTTTGCATGAATAACAATAATTTCAGCAATATATCACATGTATTAATAGGGACCCCAAATTGCCGTTTATGTACTTAGTCCTGTATGTCTCGTGTCCAAAGGCCGATTCGGTTGATGGCGTCGTTCGAACTGTCATGTTCAGAGTGTAGCGGTCCTTCATCATGGGTCTGAAAAAAGGCCCAAATTTTGGACGCAGGGGCAAAATTTTCAATCAATTGTAACCACAATTTGCGTCAGTTACGCATGCGAGCAATTTTGACAAATGCATCCTCAGACCTCTGTCAAAGTGTCCATATTTACCCGCGGCTAAATAACCCTAATCGAGACATGGTCAGGGTTTTCCTTTCATATAAGGCAAGGGCATTAATTTTCGCGGAATCAGGATCATTGGAGTAATTTATTAAAATTAGTCGCACCCTGTGGTCATCCGCCCTTGATAGAAATTAGCGGCTAAATACTTTGATTCATTCTGATGGTATCCAAATGATATTTACTATAAACGACATCATTAATTTTATATCTGACTCATTCTAGACTAATATCAAAATTTACTTTGAGTTAAAAAAAAAAATTATGTATGATCCCCCCATGTTTTATATATATTGTTTGAATTAGAAGGCAAATACAATTCAAAATTTCTAGAGAGCCATACATCCCGCCCCCAATATCTTTAATTCTTCCATAATTTTGATTTTACTAGAGAAGTGAAATTGTACGATAAAAGGAAAAAAGGCAACGTTAACAATAAAATCAATTTTTCAAACTGAATTTTAATTTTATTTGCATTTGCTACATTCGGAGCACTTGTGGTTAGTTGTTTACTTTAATCTGGACGAATTTGATAAGAAATTCTGATCACATGGTACCCCCGCATCTGTTTTTTCTGCGCATGCCAACAATTAACATTATGCCTTCATTCGAACGAAGTCAATATGATAGGATTCAGTGAAGCAAAACCTTCATGCTTCGACATTTATCAAGGTGATGGTTCGCAATATATACTAAAAGTTTTTGAAGGTTTCATGGTGCAATAGTTTCCCCGTTGTCAACAGTCGTGAAAATTTATGGCAAGACACAGATATTGAGAATAAATCATAAATTTATGGTGCTTTTATTTATTGGTTATCGAAAATAGAAACGCCGCAGGCTTTGTTGCAGAATTCTAGAAGCACATACCACACACCATCACCGATACAGACGACGTATGTTGGAACAACTTTCAGGACTTTAATGTTGTAGGTGTGTTTCCTCTAATTATTTACATAATAACAAGAACCATGCAGTCGCAATTCAGTATAATCTTGATTTGATAACCCTTAACTGCATGATAAAGATGTATAAAAAGTGATGTGACCCAAAATTTCACAAGAAAATATTGAAGGAAAACTCGAGAAGCATAAATGAATTCACACAAAGATCACAGAACTATAGAAGGAGTGCAGATAAGATGAAACGAGTTTCACATCTTCTGATTTGAGTGTCTGTAAGATTTCCATAACTCAGACACCACTCGTAGAAATAGTTAAAAATGCAGCACAGTGTTAAAACTGTAAATTATTCTGTGTAGATATTATACTATTAATAATATGATCGTGCAGTATAATGGATTTTAAATAGAAAATATTTTAATGAACTCTTTGTCCTAACATATTTCTTACCATCAATTTTCTTGTACTTATGTCTGATGGTAATATTGAATGCACCTATCTCCCCAAGACCTGTAAAAGGGATAGGACGAGACTCGGGCGGTTTGACAAGTAACCCTCTAATGCTCATCAGCCCGACAATTCAGCGTACAAAATTAATGACCGGTGTTCAAGACCACTCTATTGGAAACATTTACAGTCATTTCATTACAGATCTATGGCCAAAATCGTAGTCTATACGATCTTCAATAAATCTCACCGCACGTGACGGGTTAATAGAGGGGGAAGGACTAAGGCTTATAACCACAGAGACTTTTCCTTCATATATTTCAGTTTGTCAAATTAAATTCTGAATTTGGAAATTGTGGTTTCGAAGTGAAGAAAAATAATTAGTTTCTTTCAGAACACAGATATAAAATTGAAAGTCCTTAATTATTTACAAATGATGTTAATAAGATTCACCTTCAATGCTCAGATTGCATCTGGATTGGGCCATCATCAAAGACATTTTTTGCTACTGGCTTCAAGTGAATGCATTTTCATTCATTATTTTAGTATGTTAATTTATTTGTGTTTATCAGCTGTTTATGTGGGGCAAAGAATCAAAATCTTCTACAATGTTTTCAGTCAATTAACATCAAAAGTAGTGTCCGTACTAGGAACGGTTAAGGACAAAACTGAGACACAGTTGGGAGGCTGCAAAGTTTCGCCAGCTTTAGATCCACACGAGCAGTTTCCAAGACAACATAATAATTTTAGAGTGCCATAATTCTTTCAAAATTTCCATAAAGGTTTTTGAATTACCAAGTGCTTTAAAGGAATTCACAATTTGTGTTAACAAGGTTTCAGAAATACTTTAGACCCTCTACTTTTTAACCCCTCATTATTAGAAGATTTAAATTAAAGTCCACGTACATGTATTTATATTTAATAATATTAAATAAGGCTCAAATATCACTATAAGTATTGTTTTTTTTATTTGTGTATAGTTTTAATGTCATATTGTTTATTAAAATCCGATGACGTATTTTGAAGCCACCTCGTTTTAACCCTTCATTGCCTTGACAAACATTGCACTGCGACAATGGTACTTTTAGAATGTTTCCAAGATTATCAAAGATCATCCAATGTTTATAAGATAAAAATTCTTCACATTTTACGGCAGGTTTTTGTTGTTTTTCAAGATCATTTTGTAATGCCTTTGACAGGTTACAACAGCCCATAGCGACAACAAGTCCAAGATCTGCATGTTTCCTGCTTAAATTCTGACTCTTTATATTGCAAAGAAAAGAAGCCACACAATTCGTTCAGTTTAGAAATATTTATTGATGTGTAAGCACCTATATATATATACTTATCTTTAGTAGGTATGGATAACAAATAAAATAAAACATTTGAAATGCACTGTGTTATAATGAACATGTAGATATGATACAATATATTTATATATATATTTATAGAAACAGGCTGTAGCAACTCTCAGACTAGACGTGATTATGTTTAAACACTTTCATTCATGTCCAAGTATTTGAAGTTTGTTATTCAATGAGCAAATTTTGTGTCTTATCTAAAAGAACTAAACTATTATTATAAAATGACAAAGGAAAACCATCTTAAAACAAAACATTTAACAAATTTATCTTCTAAGTTTAAAATAAAAGAAAAACCTCAGTATTTCTGACAAAGGGACATATAGTAGTCTTAAAAAAAGATTGTTTAAATTTTGGCAAATATTTCTAATAATGCCCTTAACTCTGAAATGGTCTTTTGTCAATTTAAATATAAAAATCTTTCACGAATACATAGCTGGGTAGCTTGAGGAAAAAAACAAAACATACAAAAAAAAAAGAACAAAAAAATTAACTTTGGTTTATAGCAGAGGTGGGATCTATAAAAGTCCTTTCTTTTTTGTAGTTTCCTAGGATATGGCCAATATTGTCAAGCCAGGTATAATCCTGAGGTCTAAGTGACCCTTTAGGAGAATGACACTGGAGAAAGGAAAATGACATTCAAACAGAGGCAAACCCTCCAGAAAAAAAATGTTTATATTCAGAGCAGATAGAAAAACAGGTACAGCTGGATTTATTCAACAAATAAGACACACATACATAGGAAGTGGGGCTATTAAGACTAAACAGTGCTCTTCACCATAAAGGCATTATAGCCAGATTGTCTCTATACAGGTTGTCAAAGTAACAAGTGTTAACAGAGTTTGAGGGATTTCTACTCCAAATTAAAGCTATTTCAAGTCTTCAGATTTCACTGACAAATAGGTTATACCTGTATAAATAAAGTCTGGCATATGATTATAATAAACATTTTCTTAAATCTGTTATCATTTCACCAAAACCATTAATGTAGGGTTACATTACAATCACAACATACGTAGATGTCCCCCCAAGTTAAATACAATCGGGGGGAGGAATAAAATTGCAAGAAAAAAAATCTTTGTCATAAAATTAAACAAAACAAAACAAAGAGAAAAAGATTTCCAATGACACTTAAACATAAAATACTTAATCAAATACTGTAAGAATTGGAATTTCCACCAGAAGTGAGTAGATTTCACTTGTACTTCTCTTTCATAGGAACAGAAAAAGTGGTGGCAAAGAAAATGCTATCTATTAATACATATTGGATGACATAAGCTGTACAACCTCAAGCAAAAAAGAAAAAAAATCAATAAAAAAATTCACAAAAAAAAAACAATTTCATGCCTATTTTATTTACCTATAAAAGTTAATTCAATGTATGGGTCACTAACACTTTTTTCATGAAAGACAATTTTTTGTGTCAGTAATGCAGTTATCTCTATATATAGAAGTGGAAATTTGTGTCATTTGTTAGTGTCGGCTAGATTTTCTATTATTGAAGTGTCATTTTTAAATGAATCTATATAAGCAAATTTCAATGAAGTTAATATCAATGAAAAATAAGTATTTTTCAAATACCATATGGGGCATAGAAAAAAAAACCTTGTTAACTTTCATTTTCTTATCCGTTTAAAAAATTGTCTAACATGGGTCTTTCTCTTAAGAAAACTATGTCTCTCCATTCTCTCTGGTTTAAAAAGGAACATACATTCCTACAGCGAAACAAAACAAATAAGGTCTGCTTTGACCATAATTATTCTAAAATAAACTTGGAGAAAAATAATAAACAACACATGGCTTAATTTTATAGTATTGACCTTGATTACATTTTAGTGATTAATTTTATGATTATCTTGTGTAAATGATATTGAAATAATTGTTAATATTATTAATGCTTTATATAAACGTAAATAATTGTCTAAATCTTTGATTTTAAATGAACTAACAAACAACTTGTTGGCGAACAAGTTAAAGACTGAAAATGTATATCATGTAGATATACATGTATTCACCAGTTTTTTTTTTCTCTGTACTTCAATATTTGCACACTACCCAAAGAAATGAACACAATTTAAATAATGCTAAAATCATACTTAATGCCTGCTAAACCATTTTATGTAAAATTGAAGCCAAAAAATAAAAATATAAGTAAATTCTAACAACCTAATTGTGTCAAGAATCAAGAGCCATCCGAGGTTGCATGTTTTTAAGCGATGAATAATCTTGCATGATAAAAAAATATTTAATTTGAATTCAAAATAATAGTGGTGGGTTCTACTTTATACACACTTGAAAATGTTAGAGCATTTTACATCAACAAACCAATACCTAAAGACTAAACCAAAAATTGGTACCGTTTACATTCTTCCTATTTTTGTGGATATCAATTTGTGTCTCTTTGAAAAATAAAGTAGTGTAGGCAGCACTTGAATA